TAATTTTATTGCCCTAAAACGTCAAAAAATGAGAAACGATCTTGGCGAGTAGATGACTAATGTTCCTTAGGTCGTTTTATATGGGCAGGTTAAGTTTTAGGCGATTCGGGCCCGAGCATATGGACACATGCAGATGGTGTGGGTTATAGCACATGAACATTTGGGAATCGGCGAAATTTCAATCTTATAGCCCTAAATCGTTAAGAAATGAGGAACGGTCTTGGCGAGGCGTTGACTAATGTTTCTTAGGTCGTTTTGATAGGCCGGCTAAATTTTAGGCAACTCGGGTCCAAACGCCCGACCCATGCAGATGGAGTGGGATATATAGCACACGAAAATCTTGAAATCGGGCGGAATTTTAGTTTTATAGTCCTAAAACACAAAAAAAAAAATGAGGAACAGTCGTGGCGAGGCGATAGCTAATATTCCTTAGGTCGTTTTTTAGGACAGGCAAAAGTTTGGGCAATTCGGGCTCGAGCGCTCGGACCCATGCAGATAGCGTGGGCAATAGCACACGAAAATATGAGAATCGGGCAGAATTCAAATTTTATGGCCCTAAAATGCCAAAAAATGAGGAACGGTCATGGCGAGGCGATGACTAATGTTCCTTAGGTCATTTTTGATGGGTCGGCTAAATTTTAGGCGATTCGGGCCCAAGCGCCAGGACCCATGCAGATGACGTGGGCTATAAGCACACGAAAATATGAAAATCCGGCGCAATTCCAGTTTAAGGCCTTAAAAGGCCAAAATACGAGAAACGGTCATTGCGAGGCGATGATTAATGTTCCTTAGGTCATCTTTTATGGGTCGGATAAATTTTAGGCGATTCGGGCCCTGACTCCCGGCCCCATGTAGATGATATAGGTTATAGCACACGAAAATCTAAAAATCGGGCGGAATTTAAGTTTTATGGCCCTAAAACACCAAAAAATGAGAAACGGTCATGGCGAGACGATGACTAATGTTCCTTAGGTCGTTTTTTATCGGCCGGCTAAATTTTAGGCGATCCGGGCCTGTGAGCCCGGACCCAAGCAGATGGACTGGGTATAACACACGAAAATTTTGAAATCGGACGCAATTCGGTTTTATAACACTAAACCGCCAAAAACGAGGAACGATCATGACGAGGCGATGACTAATATTCCTTAGGTCGTTTTTTATGGGCCCGCTAAATTTTAGCCGGTTCGGGCCCCGACTTCCGGACCCATGTAGATGGCGTGGTTATAGCACACGAAAATCTAAGAATCGGGCGAAATTCAAGTTTTATGGTCCTAAAACGCCAAAAAATGAGGAACGGTCATGGCGAGGCGATGATTATATTCCTTAGGTCGTTTTTTATGGGCCGACTAAATTTTAGGCGATCTGGGCCTGTGAGCCCGAACCCATGTAGATGACCTGGGTTATAGCACGCGAAAATTTTAAAATCGGACGTAATTCCGATTTTATAGCCCTAAAACGCCAAAAAACGAGGAACGGTCATGACGAGGCGATGACTAATGTTCCTTAGGTTATTTTTTATGGGCCCGCTAAATTTTAGGTGATTCGAGCCCGGGGTCTCAGACCCATGCACATGGCGTGGGCTATATAGCACACGAAAATCTAGGAATCAAACGAAATTCTAGTTTTATGACCCTAAAACGCCAAAAAATGAGAAAAGGTCATGGTGAGGCGATGACTAATATTCCTTAGGTCATTTTTTATGGGCTGGCTAAATTTAAGGCGATTCGGGCACGAAAATCTGAGAATTAGGCGGAATTCTAGTTTTATGGCCCTAAAATGCCAAAAAACGAGAAACGGTTATGGAGAGGCGATGCCTAATGTTCCTTAGGTCATTTTTGATGGGCCGGATAAATTTTAGGCGATTCGGGCCCGATATCTCGAACTCATGCAGATGGTGTGGGTTATAGCATACGAAAATATAGAAATCGGGCAGAATTCCAATTTTATGTCACTAAAATGCCATACATCGAGGAACGGTCGTGGCGAGGCGATGATTAATGTTCCTTAGGTCATTTTCTATGAGGCGACTAAATTTTTGGCGATTCGGGCCTAACTGCCCGGACCCATGCAAATAGCGTGGGCTATAGCACACGAAAATATAGAAATTGGGCGAAATTCCAATTTTATGGCCATAAAATGCCAGAACGAGGAACGGTCATAGCGAGACGATGACTAATGTTCCATAGATCATTTTTTATGGGCTAGCTAAATATTAGGCAATTCGGGCGCGGGCACTTTGATCCATGCAAATGGCATGGGCTATATCACACGAAAAATGAAAATCGAACGGAATTCCAGTTTTATGGCTATAAAACTCCAAAAAATGAGGAACGGTCATGACAGGGGGATGACTAATGTTCATTTGGTCATTTTTTATGGGGTGACTAAAGTTTAGGCGATTCGGGCCTAGGTTCCCAGACCCATGCAGATGGCGTGGGTTATAGCACACGAAAATTTTGAAATCGGGCGGTATTCCAGTTTTATGGTCCTAAAACGCCAAAAATGAGAAACATGTTCCTTAGGTCGCTTTTGATGGGCCGACTAAATTTTAGGCGATTCGGGCCCGAGCGCCCGGTCCCATGTAGATGGCGGGGCTATAGCACAGGAAAATATGAGAATCAGGCGGAATTTTAGTTTTATGGCCTTAAAACGCCAAAAAATGAGGAACGGTAATGGTGAGGCAATTAGGGGTGGGCATAAAATCTGAAAAACCAAATTCCGAACCGGACCAAATTAATTTGATATTTCGGTATTGATTTATTCGGTATTTCGATATTCTTCAATATAGATTTTATGATTTTTCGATATTTTGGTATGGTACTCGGTCCAGCCCAACACCCACAAAGAGATGACACTGAAATTATGCATAGATCGTCTCTCCCATCATTGTCGTGAAGTTGTCATCTTCTGCAAGTAAAACATCTTTTCTTAGAAATTTTCAAGCTTCAATATTTTCCTGTTCCAAATATAATGTACCAACAATCTGCACAACACCCACTTTGAAAGTTCAGACTTATCTTTATTATATATTGTTATGTCTTGATTGAACTAAAATTTGTTGATTCCTTGTACACTTCATTCTTTCTAAAAAGATCTTCTTACTTGTTGGATTGATTTATTTCACTCCTTCACCGAATCACCAGTGGCCAATGACCTGCTTGTCACGCTAGATAGGGACGATGCGATGTCGAAACCGTACGAATCAAACAAAAAAATATCGAACCGTACCGAATTATTTTGGTACGGTATTTGGTATAGTATTTTAAAAGGTATGGGCGTAAGACGGAGCGTTTTACATATGCCCCATCGGGGCGTAAGCCCCATAGGTATTTAATTTTTAATATATTATAAAATAATATAATGACAGTTAATATTTATAAACATGTAAAATTGCATAAAAATTGAAAAAAATTATATATATGTGTGTGCTCCATCCCCACAAAAACTAATCAAAACAATCTATTATACGTTACTTACAAGCACAAGTAATTTGAGTCTAAAAGAATAAAGTTTTCTATATGGAGAAACAAAAAGGATGATTAACCTGCAATTTGAACTTTGAATTTGCTGCTACGAAGAAAAATGTAGTTCTCTTTATATTTGTAAAAAAAATTAAATATTCGTTGCGTTTGGGAGATATTAGCAGACTAGCGAACAAAATAAAAAATTGGGAAAACCATGAATTAGGGCTTAAATCAATAAAAAAGGTCTTTACTTTTAAATTTAATACTTTTGAGTTCCTTTTTAAACCTTTGAGTAATTACCAAACTAATTTTTGAGAATTTGGGTATTATATGAAGGACTAATTCAACAAATTTTGTTTTAATTGGAAAAAGTCTCTGGGGCTTACTTCTTACTAAAAAAACGCGCCCCGAATGCCCGGACGTACATCCCAAATTGCGGGGCGTACGCCTCTTGAGACTTTCGCCCCACACCATCGCCCCGGGGCGTTTTTGGTACGCCTCGCCCCGGGGCTCTCCCCAAAAACGCCTTTTAAAACAGAGATTTGGTATACACAATTGATATACCATAATACCAAACCGTAATTTATAAATACCGTATCGAAGTACCGAATGCCCATCCCTAAAGACGATGACTAATGTTCCTTAGGTCGTTTTTTATGGGCGGGCTAAATTTTACGCAATTCGTCCCCGAACGCCGGACCAATGCAGATAGCGTAGGATATAGCACACGAAATATGAGAATCGGGTTTTAATCGTTACAAGTTTCGTGAAAGAAAGAGGATTTTTTTCTCCCAAAACTTTCACTTTTAGATCTTTGCCCAACTAACTTTCTGAACATTATTTTTTTTCTTGAAATGCTAAATCTATTTTATGGCCCTAAAATACCAGAAAATGAGGAACATTCATGGCGATGCGATGATTAATGTTCATTAGGTCATTTTTTATGGGCTGACTAAGTTTTAGGTTATTCGGTCCTGGCGCCCAGACCCATGCAGATGACGTGGGCTATAGCACACGAAAATATGAGAATCAGGCGAAATTTCAATTTTATGGTTCTAAAATGCCAAAAGTTGAGGAACGATTATGGCTACACGATAACTAATGTTTCTTAGGTCGTTTTTGATGGGCCGGCTAAATTTTAGGCGATTCTGTCCCGGCGCCCGGACCTTTGCAGATGGCATGAGCTATAGCACACAAAAATCTGCGAATCGAGTAAATTTCAGTTTTATGACCCTGAAATGCCAAATTACAACTAACGGGATTAAATCAAGTTGGTAAAAATAATTAAATTCTTGAAAAATCTGAAGAGCAGTTCAAAGGACCAAACGTGTTCAACCTCATTAATTTTAGCCAATTGAAACGTAACCTCATTATTAATTATTAATTAATTAATTAGAGAAAGCATAATAGTACGGGAGAGCGGAGACTCCAAGAACCAATCAATTACAGCCAAATCAGATGCCACGTGGCAGAAGCCCGTGATAATCATCCAAAAATAACCGAGCACATGTCACCCTGCTTCAAAATCTTCTTTTTGCTTCTTCAACTTCAACTCTTCTTTGCTAAGTAATTGAACTTCCAATTTCAACATCACCGTATTAGAGAGTAAACTTTCAAAAACCTAAAATTACAGAAGTTTTCACTTTTCAGTATAGTGAGCAGCTATGGGTGGAGATACTACAACCCTTGATTCCCCTCTCATCTATTCCACTGGTACATTATTCAAATTTCTTGCATTATTTTCCTATTTATGTTTCTAAAGTATAGTCCTTTTTAAATTCGGATAAATAATGAGGTATTGCAGTAGGTTGACTGTTAGTCTCAGCTAAAAAATAAAAGTAGTTCTTCTCATTGTTGATTAAATCGATTGATTAATTTACATCTTGCATAAAAAGTATATTTTAAAATGTAGACTCAATATTCTGACAACACTGAGAAAGATTGAATTTTTGCTACTTGCAGAAGAATCATCTCTTGATCGAAACTTCCCTGAAAATTCACTAGGCTCGCGTACTTTTCTCAGGTATTTACTATAACCTGGTTCCTGATTTTCTACAAAGATTGACTCTCTACAGTGTGTGTGACTGTGTGTGTGTAATACTAGTGGTTGGTTATTGGAATATGTGCAGTGGTGGTGATCATTTTGGCTCAGAAATGGAGAATGGAAAAGCTGGACTAGGTTTTATGGATTCTGAGGAATTCGTTCGAGCTTCTTCAATTTCCTTGGATGAGGTTAATCGAAAGCGGGAAAGGAATGTGTACATGGATGTTCTCAAGAGCTATGATGAACTGCACCTTCATAAAGACCGTTTGAAAGAAGCCAAAAGTAAAATCTTGAGGTACTGTAATTTATAGTCATTTGTTTGCTATTTTTGTTCTTTTATTCTCGGGGATAAGTAACTAGATATGATAATTTAACAATGCTCCTCGTATTTGTTCTACTTATTTATTTATGGGGTGCTGTTTGTTTCATGGCCTTGTTTGATTTCTCCTCCTCTATGTCAAGATGTTTGGATTAAATGTTACATTTTGTGTTTTGATACTGGATGATCTGCTAAGCGCCAGAAAGGAGGAATTTGGGTTTTGAACTAGGAAAAATTATCCAGGACCTTTGTCCCAAGTTTTAACTGAATCCTTTTTCCAGTGGTGAGGTGGAGAGTATTTGGTCTCACCCTTTATGAAACCTTGTGTTACTTATTGCCACATACTTGACACCATCCTCCTTAAAAACGTTGGTCCCGATAATCCATGCTCCGTGCTAAAAGAAATTTTCCGTTAAGGTGGTACCAGTAAGTAGCGTGCTCCATGTCCTATCTAAGTTCAGCATTTGTCAAAAGATTCCATTTAACCCTAATATTTACTGACCTTTGTTTGACTAGCATCACTATCTATTGGTTAAGCAAGTCCTTTATTCTCACCGTGAGTTCAGTGTTTGTGCATTGTAATAAGTATGCTCTACAAGCATCATAATACAATATGCATATCGAACCAGAATTAAATTCTGAAACATAGTCTTGAGAGATCCTCTTCCTCTGTGGGATTCCACAGGTAGTGTGACTTTATGGTTAGGAACGGAATTTCGCAATGCTAGAGCCCTTCTAGATAATGACTTCGATTTCATATAAAATGCTGAGTATATTTCAATTTGACATATAACCTATTTCCCACAATTTTCCCAGCATTTTCTGGTCCCTTGTTCACATGACAAGTTTATGCATCTAAGACACACTTGAGGTCCTTACTTAGAGACATTTACCTTACGTCCACAGAAGGACGACCACTTTTGAGATATTTCACTTTTCCTCTTCTTCAGCATAGATCTTAGTCTTAGCACTAGCATTCCTCTCTGTACAATGCTCACTCTTTACTCTTTTCAGATGTTTAGGTTGTTTTCTTGCGTGCTCTATTTGGTAGTTGTAATTCCCCTTCTTTAATCAGTGCTCTCATTCCGCTGCTTTAAGGCATTTATCTCAACTCTGCGAAGATATTCACACAAATAAAATGAGAGAAATGTGTAGCAGGGTAAGAGTTGGAAATCACGTGGTGTCTAGTGAAGGTGTGATATTAATTCCATCTCGTTGTTGCTTGAAGTGACCCTACTTCTAAGGTATTAGCATTAATCTGGTTTTAATTTGAGTTGGAAGTGTAGTTGTTTACATTGTTGTTGTATTTACTGAGTACCTTTTTATTCAAGTTTACTACTCTGATGTCTCCTCGTCATACAATTTCATGATGTGTGTGCCTTCCTTGTCTTCTCTGTCCCTGTGCTTCTATTTTTTTCTTGCAACAATGTTGAGTGGGAAAATGAGTATCAAGTTCATCGTAAGTGTAAAAGCTATTTGCTATGGTATAGGAGTAACATAATGAACATATTGTTTACATTAGCTAAAATGTTATCGAGGTGCTCAACACACACTGATGCTGTCTTTAACCATGTCACTGGAAAAGCTAATTCAAGTCTAGTTTATGTGAGTAGATACAGTTCAGCTTGTTTTGCAACTACTGTTCATTCACTTGACGGCCTAGAGCCAGCTGCATTTAGATTAGTGCCCTGTGATGAAATGCGTTACCATTTCTTTCACATTAGCTAGTTGTATTTTTGCATAACCTTATCTTATTTTCATTCTGGCAGTTATTCAGTTTCTAACTGTACATGGTAGAATCTATTGTAGCATATTCTTTGTCTTGTTTACTTGTAACTACTATGCATCTGTTGAGACACATTATAAATGAACCACTGCAGATACACCCCTGGATCATGGATTGAGGAGGTGGGTGGCATGAAAAAGAGCGATTATAATATACCAAAAAAGACGACACTCTTGTTGATTGGTCCAAAAGCTTCTGGAAAAAGCAGTCTTGTTAACAAGATCTCGATGGTGCTTGAGGATGATCCCTTTACACCAGAAAGGGCCCCAGTATCGTGTATGTTCTCTCTCCTTTTCACATGAAATAAGTGAAATTTGATAAAAGTTAACCACAAAGAATATGTTTGTCATGCGTGCTCTATTTGTCGTAGATACTAATGTGATTAGATAGTTTATTTCTTTAAATACTAGTTGTCAGATAATTAATGCAGGCATAACAGCATCGTTGTTCTTGAACCTATGGATTACCAGATTCTTCTGTTGGAGATGGGACATATTTTCTCCAAGAGTACACGATACCAAGAGGTTCAAGTTCTTTTTGTTTGTATGACACACGTAGTTTATCAGATGACTTGACTGAAAATAAGAAAATGGTGAAGCAATGGATGACAAAGGGTGTTCGTCATGGGGAGCTAATAAAGAGGTCTATATCATTGTTTTTTCCTTGAATTTCCTTCAACAAAACCTTACTTTGTGTACCTGGACTTTCTTAAATGCTCCCTTTGGCAGGGATTCTGATGATGTACATCTGAAATCCAAAATGAAGTCTAAAGCTCGCCGAAATAGTTTGTATGTCATTGAGGCCAAGATGGTTAATTTTGTCATATTAGTTGTCAATGCGGTCTCAATTCTGGAATTGATGGACGGTGATGATGAAACCAAGAGACAAAAAACTCAAGCTGTTGCTACAACTTTCAACGACCCTCTTTTGTCATTCGAAGGTATTAATTTACTTTCTTTTAACTTAATATATCACTTCAATCAGTCTTTTAGCTTGGTAAGATCAGTGTAGTTGATTAAAAAAATTTAGGCATTTTGTGAGTACTAAAAAAATTTATAGGTAGAAACAAAATTTTAGTTGTTCTCCTAGATAACGATTAATGTTGATTGAAGCTTCCTTGATGAACGTGCGGAGTTCATCTTGGATTTCCAAAAAAAACATTGGAAGTAACAAGAAAAAAGGAGAGGAAATCCTTATTCCATTCAAAAACAAGCGTCAGATTGATGCTAAGTTTGTCAATATTTCAGTATTTAATCATCCCATTTTCTCTTTCTCATTGTTGGAGCATATTATGGTTCTTTCAGTTTGCTCACTCTCGCTATCTCAGATGACAAGCCTGTTGTTGTGCTCACACATGGTGATTTACTTTCCCTTTCTGATCGTACACGAATCCGCATGCATTTGGGACAGCTGCTCGGTATTCATCCAAAGAAACAAATTTTTGACATCCCAGGTGGCATCAAGATAAGTTAGCCTGCTGTAACATGAATTTCTTTAGTTGAACTCTAATCTTTTTCCTCCCTTTTTCTTTTCTCTTTTTGGTCTTGTGTTTTCAGAAAGCGATGATTCAGGAACTAAGTTGACTATACTTAACATGCTTCGTTATTGCCTCGAGCACGCTGATAAAAAACTACCTTTCAAAAATGACCTACCTTTCAAAGGCCCATTTAGCTGCGAGGTGACTTTATTGGTAGATGAACTTAACTTATATGGTTGATTCTTATTTTAGTTAGTTTCACTTTCTTTGTTAGGGACTTCACAAATTTCATCTCTGTAAAGACCGATTTAAACTTGTATGGTGTACATGCCATCATCTCCATGGTTGCACCATGAGTTGATGGATGTTTTCATTCAACACTTAGACCTTCTAGCTATAGTCTTCCGGGAACAATCATTTTAGTTAAATAGTGCAGTAATGCATATTTTTATGCAGTCCTTGATGTTGGTCACTCCCCCCTTTTATGCTTCGTCTCTTGACTAGGTCTAGGGTGTCACATGTTCAGGTAGGGTCAAATTTACGCGGGTTAAAATGGGTTTGAGTAAATAGAGTCATGTTCCAGCCATTCGAATTTCACTTTTCCGTTTGTTTTATTTTTCTGCCTGTATGCAGTAGAGTTGTTAAAAGTTATTCACTGTGCAATAAAATAAAAATGCCATATGCAAGAGCAATTAGTACTAGTTTTTTTTTTTTTTCTTTTCATTTCTACTTTTTGACAAAATTTTGTAACCGCTGATATTAATGTAGCCCAAGCTGTTGGAATATTGATTGGGGCTACTCCTGTTTGCCACTTGCATGAATGTCTCCCGCCTAGCCTTTTGAATTTTGGTGGCTTACATTTCATGGATCAAAATTGACAACCTACTAAGATCCAGTTATTGCATTGCTATTTCTAGTTCATAGGGCTGCATTTGCGTGCACTGTTCATTTTAGGTATAACATTCAGCTGTATTATGACATGGATAGAAAAAAGTACAATGCACGTGTTCATAGTTTTATAGATGAAATTTGATTTGTGCTTGTTGTAAATTGTACCATACTCTGCATCTACATGTGCTCTTCAATTTAAATTACTACCTATCGTGCAATTGTAAAACATGTTACATTTTCTTTTGTAGGATGTCTTGGCGATTCTTGTATTATTTATACTGGCATGTGCGTTTCTAGTGCAATACCTGTAATTAAGGCTGCTTATCAGGCGGATCAAAGGTATAGTCATGCTTAACGGTTCGGCTTATCGGTTTTCGGTTTTCGGTTTTTAAATGTACTAATTCATTAGCCCACCAATAAGATATCGGGCGGTTTGTTATTGGATTAGCAATTATCGAGCGGTTATTGGGTGGTTTATTGGCTAAATTTAAGAGAAGGCAATAAAAAATTAAGGAGAGCTATTGTGTCCTTAAATCAGCATCATTCCAGATTGTAGATACTAATAATGGGCCGTGAAGAGGAAAGCTATTGTACATTGCCCCGACTATCTGCTGCAACTGGCTCTTGATTGCATTTCATCCCTGGAGACAATATTGGTTTCCAAAAAAAAGGGGGAAGCAAAAAAGGCAAGAAGTTTGGGAATTGAAGACTAATCAAGAAACCATGAAAGTAACCGACCGTAGCTCACTAAAGTGCATCCACGATTACATTGAATTTCAACGAGCAGTGATATGGCTGCTAGTTATTTCCTATAATTAATAATAGATACTTTATATACATAGGGGGGTAGAAATATAAATATAATACTTTTTAACGGGTTAACGGTTTATCCAATAAGGAAATTGAGTAATTTATTCCCGAATTGGTAAACCGTTAAACTATAAACTTTCAATCCGTTCACCAATCTTTAATCTAATAACCCCGACACCAATAAGCCAATAGACCAATTTTGCGATTGGATTATCGGTTACGGTTCGGTTTTGAACCGTCCGTAATCAATATGTTTAATTTCATGACAAGGTTGAGTCTTTTCCCAATCTTCGCCGTGAGGTAACTCACATGTAAATCATAGATTGAAATGCAATTTCAGTTGATTCTGTTCCCAATCTACAGGTATCACAATCGCATGTAAGCATCGATTGGAATGCGACTACCAATCTTCAGCATGAGGAATTGCAACCACATGAAAGTGGGGTTGATTCTGTTCGCCATATTCACTCTGAATCTCCCCAATCAGATGTATACATAGATTGGGGTGCAATCCGACACTTCTGATTTGACTAAGTTTACTGATGAGCTTGGATGTATGGAAATGGATGCATTTATCTATAGCTGTTACGTTTCGAGAATGCATAACTTTTTAAATGTATAAACAGGGTAAGTTGTTTTGCTCTCCTTGTATATAGGAACTTTTAGCAGCAATTCTCTTACTTGGAGGAATGACAATCTTTAGGAAATCTTCGTAAAGTTGATCATTACGTGTGTTAAGTAACTGTGCTGTTTTATTATTGTTGCATATGTGACCATTCAGCGTAAATAGTCTCACCAAGAGAAGCGACATTCGTTTTGGCATTACGTGTGTGTGTTTGGCTTATAATTTGTTGGGTCAGCAAATAGAAGGGTTAGGCAAAAGCTCGTTAGCATTTTAACATTCACAAGGAGAGCAGGGAGAGAGACAGGCTGTGGCGTTATAGGATTTTTCTTTTTGGGTTTCCCAAGTGCTCAATACCCGTTTTGGGGCTCAGCCCATTCGGACTCGTGCTGGAAAGTCCTAATTTTAGGAGCAAAGCACTCACAAACCTTTGGGCAAGGAAAAACATTATAAAATCTTTGGACGAAAAAGGATTTTGAAAAGAGAAACCTTTTTAGAGAAAAAGATTGTTAAGATCAAAAAAATCTCGTCCGTCACAAGCCGCTCATAACATTTGCTTTTGTGTAGAAACTTTTCTCCAGAATATGGTCGCGTAATATGACACCATCTGGGTTCGGTCTAACCATGCGGCTGTTGCTTAAACTCTTTATTTGTATTGAAAAAAATTATTAAATATGTAAAAATATTTAATTGTGAATCCAGTAACTAAAACGAGCTAGGATTTGATGACAAGATCAGAATCCATAACCTTAAAATCCTTGTTCCGCCTCTGCTCATACAGTTAAAAATGCACCATCTTCTGATTTGGCATACTAAGTTGCAATGATAGTTCGGGAAGCAGATACCTCTAGTATTAGACATTTTAAAGAAAGTATTAGCTCAGTAGACAAGGAAAAACTCTGATACACATCATACTGAAATGCCTTATCAAAAACATCATACTGAATGAATTCAAACAGGACTTCAGTAACATTAATGTTGCAGAAAACATAGGAAAACATCATGTATAAGCTATATGGCACAATGTGCCAAGTATAACACTTCAATCAAGGGCAACTGCATTAGAAAAAAGAATCAAGGGCAACTTTGGAAGTTGCTGGTATTCACCCTCGCTCATGCTACAGAATATATGGATGGAAAACATGGATAAAAATTCATCACCTCATTTATCACTACGGTATAGAAGTCAAAAACAGGACCTTGCATTCCGAGCAAAGGACCTATGTTCGCGAATTCAGTGCAAGTTTACTTGATGCAACCTATATGTTTCCCTTCAGTCACGACATCATTTTCCTGCAGAACAAGAATCTGGGAGGCTCTGCAAAAACTTTGCTCTTGCAGCAGGATCAGTGGAAAATCGACCCAACACAGCAAATGTGGCCGTGTTGCTTCCAAACTTCTCAATTCCTCTAGATATCATACAGGTGTGATTTGCTTCCACGACTACTATTATGTCTTCACCTAAGAGCGACGAAACAGTCTCAGCTATCTGCCTGGTAAGTCTTTCCTGTACTTGGAGTTTAAAGCCATAAAAGTGTACTACTGATTGCAATAGCGCTCTTCCAACTGGATTCAGTCCGTCCAAAGAGTAATAACCAATGTGCACAACACCTTGGAAAGGAAGTAGATGATGTTCGCACTGAGACCAGAACGATAAATTGAGCTCAGAGCAGATACCATCTTTGAAACTACCAACCTGACCAGAATGACTTCGAGTATCTATTCTATTTCGAACAAAGCCACTCAGTTTCATCTCCAGATTAGAATTACTAAAGTTCATGAACCACTTGACGAACCGAGATGGTGTTCCTACAAGCTCTTCCCTCGACGTGTCCTCACCCAGAGACTTAAGTATCGAAAGCACTGCATTTGTCATAGCTGAATTTGCTTGTCCCAACCTGCCAAAAGATTGAGACGGGCACCATGATTGGTCGGAGAGCATTGGGTGGGCACTTTCTATGCTTATACCTCTGAATTTCAGAAGACTTAAAAAATCAGTCCAAACATCAGCTTTTTCATCCTCAAAAACACCAGAACCTGAGGTGACTAATATCTTTACCCATCCTTGGGGAGTCGAGTTGAGAAAGGCTGTTTCGAAATTTGGGAAATGAATATGTGAACACTGTAGAACCACAGCAACACCTGTTGGCTTAATTCCATGCTGCAAAGCAGCGCAAATTTCATCGGCAAGACGCTGTGGACTTTGGAGCCGTTTGGCAAAAATATCAGCCACCCGAGAGAGCTTGCTTAGTCCTACAACCCTTTGTCCGGATGGAACATAACCTACATGACACTTGACCTGGAACGGGAGCAAGCAAGACTCACAGTATGAGAAGAGATCAAGATCTCGAACAATCACAAGCCCACCAACTCCTCCAGCCTGACCGCTTCCACCTTCCAATCCAGCTTCAGGGAATAAAGCGCCATGAACAATATCATTCACTTTTTGTTTGTAACCTTCATTCAACATAAAAGATGAAAGACTAGAGTCAAACAGTAGATCAAAACATCAATCCACCAACCCAGGTAAAATTGAAAATATCAGCAAGTTCGTGCTATTAGAAGATGTAAATTTCCTACGAATACAGAATGTTGAGATCCACAGTAAACTAGCATAAAATAGAAAGCCACTAAGACCGCTTTGTTAAAATGTTAACAAGTTCTTGGTGTCAAGAATTTTTCAACAAAGAGAGCTCTTCAAGTCCTCAGGAAGCAAACATGAGGCACAGTTTTGACTTATGAGACAATGATAAGTTGTTTCAACCTAAAACAGAAATCCAGCACTAACTAGCAATCAAGCATTTGAATGTAAAATGCAGAAAGGAATAATGGATAAGAAACACTGTTTCTTTGAGCAGACAAGATGAAATTCCTTACTGCGGTAGAAAAAAAGTTGTTTCTAGAGATGCTTCTCTTGACTGCAAAAAAAACACCTGATATCATACTTTAGCTTAAGCCCCCTTCCCACATTAAAATATTAACTTCCAATTCCTACAAGTCAGTAATGCAAGAGTTCCATGTGCAAGATGGAAAAGTTCTATCTTTCATGTTTACTTCCTCTCACATGTATCCCCAACCTCCACACTGGTGGAAGCACCAGAATGGCCAAAAATAACCTCAAGGCCGGAAAATTTGAGCCACTTTTTGGAACTTCAAAAAGTGCAGCGCTGAACCCATCTAGAAAATATAAAATAGAGAAAGCTCATGTCTGGCATTCAAAGACAACCTTTTTCCTGGAAGCTTCGCCGACTCATGCTTCACTAAATGCAAAGCCAACTAACAGTTGCGTAGGAAACTAGTGAATAAAGGGGACAGTGGAAAGCTGGAAAGTGATCGATCAGAAGTTATGGCAAACCATCCGAAGCTGCATTTATGGGGCCATCTGGAGGGACAAGAACTTGAGATGTTTTGAGGGATTGGAAACAACCATCCCTAACCTGAAATCTTTTTGAAGTTTGAAGCAGTCATTGCTTCAGTTCTCCGTATTCTAGTTACAAAACGAAAATAATTATCTGGTGTAATGAAGAAATGCATACCTGTAAGTACTTTCAAAACTTAATTTGTCTCTCTTTCCCCCAAGTGTCCATCTATATAACTTTTGATGAAGTATCTAATGGTATAAAAGATGTCGTTTAACTGAAATAGCTACTCCTAGAAAATGACAAAGCTCGTTTGTCTGGTAAAGCTAATTCCACCACCCTACCCCTTGTCCTTCCTTTCATACATACAGGGACAAAGGGTTCATGATTGCAGAATCTTCGCTTAAGAAAAAACAAACAAAAAAAAAAGATCAATTTAGTAAATTCAAGATACCCCATCACTATTGGTTGCCAAACTTAATAAACGTTCAGCTAAAAATTGTATCTTTGGGCATTTTCCTACAAGGGCCACACAGAAACAAACAGTATGAGTTAAAAATGTCCAACACTTGCTAAATGCAGCAGCAGCAACAACAACAAAAAAAAAATATAGTGTAATCCCACAAGTGGGGTCTGGGGAGAGCAGTGTGTAATTAGACCTTACCCTACCTTAAAGGTAGAGAGGCTAACACTTGCTAAATGCATTTATACTATTTCAGTAGTACTTGCTAATAGTAATTTATTATCGTTTGTCTTCAAAAAAAGACTTTGAAAATCCAAATCCAAACTAACAAGCTAGATGCACATACTCCACTTTCCCCAGATCTCATGAAGAGCAAAAATGAAGCAGATCCATAAAGAGTCAGGATTTGAACATTATGAGTTCAAGCTCGGGACCCGAGCCCATTTGATTTACTGGATTCAAATCTATTGTTTGTACTTAATTAGTGAATTTTTAACATATATAGTGAATTCGAGCCAAAGCTAATAAAAATCAAATCTTGAGCATATTAAAACGTTAAAAATCCAAAAGGGTGTAAAAAAAAAAATCACCTCTAGCTCCTTCACGAAGAGCCTTAGCAACACGAAAAGGAGTTTTTTTAATGCCTTCCCTATTAATATCTTCACCCAAACCTTGCAAAAGGACTTTTACAGCATCCTTAATAGCAACAGTTTCAGGCTGAACCTCAAACCCAAGCTCAAGATTTACTTCATTCTCTATTTCTGAATGATAGTGCCCTTCATCTAATGCGCCCATTGAACACAGAGATAAATAAAAATATAGCAGATCTTAATACACAATTAACCACCTGAATCACACGTGATGAAGAAAGGAATAAAAAGAGAAAAATGAAGAAAGGATTTTAGCCAAAGATTCCAAATTTGAGACACTCAAATGAGGAAAATTTGACCAAAAATTCAATAAAGAGATACGGATGAATGGGAAGTGTAGGGCTCTTATTTTGAGAATAGAAATAGAAGAGATGAATGAGGACGAGATGTGTGTGTTACTACAAAAACTTTCCAGCAATTTTAAAAATATATATATAAAATTTTGAAGGGAAAAAAAAAAACGTAAGGTTACAGTTGATATTGGAATGTGTGGAAGGCCACACCTATTTCTGTCATTATATCAAGATCTGGGTCGGTCAAGTGATCTGGTATATCCAAATATATTCGCCAACAGTAAAAGGGAAGAGAGGAATTCTCTTTTAAAAAGGGGAAGAAACCATAACAATTTTCGTTTAAAAAAGGGAATAAATAATAACAATATACTACTTTCTTTGTCCCACTGTATAGTTAGTATTTAAAGAGTCAGAATAAAAATTACCATGATTTTTATATGCTTTTAAAATATTTTAAAATGTTAATTATTATAATTTATAGTATCTTTTATGTAGTTTTTAAATATATAAATTTTATTTTAATTTTTTTTAAATTCTGTGTTTGAATTCAACCTAAAATTAAATTGTTTGATCTTCCCACTCTAAATCATACCATATAAAGTGGGACGGAGGGAAGTACCGTTGATGATGAGACTTGAACTCATGAAAACTACATACTTCTAAGTTAATTGCAACTAAAACTCTCAGCATATCTTATTTACTGTTATAAAATATAACTCAAAGTAACAATATGGAACAAGAAAAAACAAATTAAGAGATATATAGAGAAAGAGAGAAGAGATTTTTATTTTTTCTTCAATTGTGTGTATTTTTCTATCTATTACAAGACCTTTATATAAGCATGAAAAGTGAAGAAAATATGTAATTGAATATGTCATTAAACATAGAAAATATGTCATTAAGCATTTGAGATGAAGATCATGGAGGAAGAGTAGACATCCACCATAATTTGATATTTCTTATAACGCTCCCCCTTGGATGTCCATAGATAATGTGCCTCGTTAAAACCTTATTAGAAAAAAATCCTAGTGAAGGAAAAAGAGTACACATGTTTAGAAATACGCTTTTTGGTTGCCTCATTAAAAACCTTGCAAGGAAAACCCAGTGGAACAAAATCTTGTAAGGGAAAAAGAGCACTGCGTATTAACTCCCCCTCATGAGAGCATCAATTCACATCCTTGAGCCTTCGCATCTCAATCTTGTACACTAGTTTCTTGAAGGTTGACGTCGGTAGAGATTTGGTGAACAAATCAGCCATATTATCACTTAAACGGATATGATGCACATTGTTATCACCGTTCTTTTGAAGATCATGTGTGAAAAATAACTTTGGTGAAATGTGTTTTGTTCTATGTCCTTTTATGAATCCTCCCTTCAATTGAGCTATGCGCGTTGTATTGTCTTCATACAAAATTCTGGGTAGTTTGTCACACTTCAAACCACATTTGTCTCGAATAAGGTGTATTATAGACCTCAACCATACACATTCTTGACTTGCTTCATGAATAGCAATTATCTCAACATGATTAGATGAAGTAGTCACGATTGATTGCTTAGTCGATCGCCAAGATATTGCAGTGCCTCCACATGTAAATGCATAGCCTATTTGAGATCGAGCCTTGTATAGGTCAAATAAATACCCAGCATCGGCATAACCAACAAGATCGGGACTGCAATCATTGCCATAAAATAAGCCCATATCGGTAGTCCCTTTTAGATACCGCAATNAGTAGTCCATTTTAGATATTGCAATATGTGTTTGATTCCATTCTAATATCTCCTTGTAGGAGCAGAGCTATATCTTGCTAAGACATTAACTGAAAAAGTTATGCCAGGCCTTGTAGTATTAGCAAGATACATTAGTGCACCAATTACACTAAGATATGGTACTTCGGGACCAAAAAACCCTTCATTCTTTTCTTGAGGTCGGAACGGGTCCTTATTCACATCAAGTAATCAAACAACCATCGGAGTACTTAATGGATGTGTTCCATCCATGTAAAACTGTTTTAATACCTTTTCTATGTAGGCAGATTGATGAACAAAAATCTCGTTTGCCAAATGTTCAATTTGCAAACCAAGACATAATTTTATCTTTCCGAGATCTTTCATCTCCAATTCCTTATTTAAATAATCAATTGCCTTTTGGAGTTCTCTAGGAGTTCCAATAAGGTTTATGTCATCAACATATACGGCAAGTACAACAAACTCCGATGTTGTTTTCTTTATAAAAATACATGGACAAATGACATCATTTATATAACCTTCATTTAATAAATATTCACTAAGGCGGTTATACCACATTCTTCCTGATTGCTTAGATCATACAAAAATCTTTGCAATTTGATTGAAAACATTTTCCTGGACTTTGAATTATGTGTGTCAGACATTTTAAATCCCTCGGAAATTTTCATGTATATCTCATTATCAAGTGAGGCTTAAAGGTAGGTTGTAACCACATTCATTAAATGCATGTCAAGCTTTTTATCGACATCAAGACTAATGAGATAGCGGAATGTTATAGCATCCATAACAGGAGAATACATCTCTTCATAATCGACACCAGGTCTTTGTAAAAATCCTTGTACAACAAGGCGTGCCTTATATCTTTGTACCTTATTTTTCTCATTCCTTTTACGTACAAAGATCATTTATAGCCAACATGTTTAACATCATTAGGTGTTTGGACTACATACCCAAAATCTTCACGTTCCGCAAGTGAATCCAACTCAGATTGGATTGCTTCTTGCCATTTTGGCCAATCACGTCTTTGTCGACATTCTCTAACAGATTGAGGTTCAAGATCCTCATTATCTTGCATAATGCTAGATGCAACATTATATGCAAAGACATAATCTACCACTATATTCAATCGATTCAAATTTATCTCAATATCGATTGGATTTATTATTAGTTTCTTATTTTCTTGAGTCGCAGGCTCATCGATATCCTCATGAATCTCAGGATTGGTTAAATCATGGGTTTCTTTATGAGACTCTTTCGTAGTATCATCTTGATCATTTATTTTACTTTTTCTAGGATTTCGATCCTTAGAACCCAATGGTCTGCCACGCTTTAGGCGTGCTTTTGACTCATTAGCTATGACACTAGAAGACTGTCCAACAGGGACATCAATATATATTGGAACATTCTCTGCAGTGATATGTGATTTCATTATCCTTTTCATATCCGTAAATGCATCTCGCATTTGATTTGCTATTTTCTGCAAATGGATTATTTTTTGTACCTCTTTTTTACAAATAGAGGCACGTGGATCAAGATGATACAATAATGGATTTTTTTCATGAAATTTTTCGTTTTATTTCACCAATTTCTCCCCCTAAATTTGGAAAAAATGCCTCATCGAATCGACAATCTGCAAATCAAGCAGTGAACAAATCTTCGGTTAATGTTTCGAGGTAGCGAATAATGGAGGGCGATTCAAACCCAACATATATTCCTAACCTTCTTTGGGGACCCATTTTGGTGCGATATGGCGGTGCTACAGGCACATATACAGCGCATCCAAAAATTCTTAGATGGGATATATTAGGTTCATGACCCAAAACTAATTGCAACGAGGAATATTTATGATAATTTATCGGTTTGAGACGAATTAGCATTGCTGCATACAAAATGGCATGATCCAAACTGAAGTGGGTAACTTGGTTTTCATGAGTAATGATCTTGCTATCAGTTGCAGACGTTTAATCAAAGACTCTGCAAGGCCATTTCGAGTGTGAACATGAGCTACAGAATGTTCCACTTTTATCTCAATTGATAAACAACGATCATTAAATGCTTGGGATGAAAACTCAGTGGAATTATCAAGCCTAATAGACTTAATTGGATCATTGGAAAATTGTGCCCCTAATCTGATTACTTGTGCCATTAATTTTGCAAATATCAGGTTACAAGATGACAATAGGCATACATGAGACCATCTAGAAGATGCATCTATTAAGACCATAAAATATCTAAACGACCTACTAAGTGGGTGAATAGGTCCGCAAATATCCCCTTGTATACGTTCCAAAAACGCAGGGGACTCAATCCAACCTTTGTTGGTGATGGTCTAATAATCAACTTGCCTTGATAACAAGAAGTGCAAGAAAATTTATTATTTAAAAAAATCTTTAAATTCTTTAATGGATGCCCATTTGAGTTTTCTATAATCCGTCTCATCATAATTGATCCAAGATGTCCCAATCGATCATGCCAAAGTATAAATGTATTGGAATTAGAAACCTTTTGGTTTACGATAGAATGTGCCTCAATTGCACTAATTCTTGTCCAATACGGGCCACAAGATAAAGATGTAAACTTCTCAATAACCCTTTTCTGGCCATAGACATTCTTGGTAACGATGAGATATTCGAGATTATTCTCATCTATTGTCTCAATATGAAATCCATTTCAACGGATATCTTCAAAACTCAACAAGTTCCTTTTGGACTTGGAGGAGAACATTGCATTCTCTATGATAAGTATTGTTCCCTTAGGAAGAGTTATATTAGCTCTTCCAGATCCTTCAATTAGATTACTACTACCAGATATTGTAGTAACATTTGCCTTACACATACTTAAATGAGAGAAATATTTCTTCTATTTGAATATTGTATGTGTTGTACATGAATCAATTAAGTAAATATTTTTACAATTGAACTTTGATCCAAGTTTGCTTTGAAAGATATCCATATTTTGCTTCCCATGGTTTGACATACAAAATAAGTATATGAATAAATATTAGTATTTTTAGTGAAAAAGGAAAAGAAATAAAGTTAAACCAATAATTCAATAGTGACCTTTTAATGCATTTTCTGGTTCTAATTATTATACAAATAATTACGCAGCAAAAATAATATAATTGTAAGTACATTACACATATGAATAATACAACTACAATAAATTTATTTGCATGTATAAGTTATTTGTATTTTTCTACACATTGTATGAAAAATAATTGATCCGTGTAAGAAAAGAATATACTTAGCTGCTTCTCTTTTCTTTATTCATAATATTTCATCTATGTACATGAAACAAATTGAGGATGAAGTAACAAAAGTTGTTCCAGGATGCTTGTAAACCTTTTCTTAAAGAGAATTAAAATAACGTAAAGGAAAATCAAAAGCGTTAAAAGATCACTTA